TATTCATATTTAAATAATGGACAAATTCTATTCGTTTTTTACAATCTTGAAAAAATGTATAAATATTTAAAATTTATTAATTATTGATTAGAGATTATTGTTATTATTAATTATTGATTAAAGACTATATATCCACACTAAATTGGGTATTAAGATAAATTATATATATAATAAAATATTGAATAATATATTCATGAACAATCAGTTACCATGGCGATGCTGTCATTGTTTATAATTTATAATTATACTGCTATAATTTCTAAACTTTTACATTTTAAAAACGCCTTTAAATCTTCTCATATTATTATGACTTTGACGTACCAGAAAATCGTTTCAAAGTTTATGAGCAGACTGCTTGAAGAAAACATCGATCAACCCAAAGTTTGAAATGGTAATTACTAGTTTTATTCGGCCGCGACTTGAAAAATTGTATTACAAAAGTTCACAGGTCTATTTCAAGAAGTGCTTTTAACCATACTAAAAACATACAAAAAATGTGCTAATTAACAATTAGACAATTAGAGATCGAGTTTTCTATGAGTCAATGGATAGTCGATGAGGCGCGAGTGTAGCGCCGAATCGACTATTTGACTCATGAGAACGAGTAGTCTAAATGTTTTAGCATAAACCTACTAGCTAATATTATAGTAATGAAAACAAAGAATGACACTGAAAGCTTTAATGAAAAACCACGCTCAACAAGCGGCTTTGTTTTCATTCATCTTTGCGATCTCGACTTGGTCCTATTAAACTTATAAGCTTCAACTTTTTTTTTAATTTCTATAACTTTCTGCGGTCTCTATTATTACATTCAAAACTCTCTTTCGAATATTTTCCACCTTTTTATTAGTTCTTGGGATCAGTTTTCTGATTGATGAGTGCTAAAATGAACGCTTTTATTCACAAATACTTCAAGTTGTTGTCAACTAATTCAAAGCCAACCATGTTGAAATTTGCCTATGCTTCTTGTCAGTTAATGTTGTCTTTCTTTAGTGCTTTGTTCTTATCGATTAAACTTCTTTGAGTCTATGATGTGAATAATAATAATGTGAATCAATCCCAAGAGAGCACAATAACAAAAGGGATGTCCGCCATGTTGGAAGATATAACAAAAGAATTCATTGAAAAATCTTTTGTCAAATTCTTCCAACATGGTAGCTATGACGTCTATTGCAAACGAAGAATAGTGAAGTTTTTAGCCTTTGTTCTGTTTCGTTTGACCCGATCCTCCGTGTAAAGTTGAAAGAAGTGTTTTTTTAATCGTTGGCGATAATTTCTATCATAAAGTTTGGCCGCAAAAGAGAGTTTTTTGTCTCTATTCTGGTCGACGTGGACCGAAGACGCGTGTGCAATGGCAGAATTCTCAGGGATGTTTATGACTCATTCAAACCCGGTTTAACCTCAAAATTTTGCTTCAGTTGTCAAGATTCTCTTGAAATGAATGCAGATATACCAATAGATCCTTTTTTATGGTAATTCAAACTCATATTTGCTAGCTTTTGAGGCCTGATTTTACGTCTTAAAGTTCGAGTTATGGTATCTTCGCCGACTACTGGCGGCAACAGTTGTTTTTGTGTTTAAAATGCTTCTAGAATTTAATTTATATTCGAATTTAATGATTCCAGATGAATCGAATGAGATTTTGAGATTTTGAGATATTTTGAGAAGTTCCTGAGGGGGTATTGGCTGGTTTTATATTATGTTGTATCCTTTCACTCTTTCTACTTGATTATGTAACAAAATACTTTTGAAAAACCTATTTTATTGGAAAACACTGTCAATTGTCCATTAGTGCCACGCAGCACAAACGTGAACTAACTAGATTAGGTTCAAAGCGTCACCTGAAATTTCGAAATATTGTATTTGCAGAAAGAAAGAATGAAGCTAAGGGAACTTACCGTGATCCATTACATCGTACTAAACTTTGTTTGTGCATATGATGAGTCACCATTCCAGTGTTCGCCACGTTGTATTTGTTTTTTGGATGATGATAAAGTTCTGACTGCTAAATGCAAAATACAAAATGGGGATCATCGTGCAATTATCCTACCAGATACCGTTCAAAAACTGTAAGTAAATATGATCTGTGGTTGGTCGAACCATCTTACTGACGGACTGACTGACTGGCTTTCGCTTATTATTTTCCTTTTTAGTGATCTATCAAGTAGTAATCTGACAGAAGTTCCAAGCCTGGCATTCTCACAGCTGCAGAATATAAGTGGCCTGTACGCTCACAACTAATACTTGTCTATTAAGTAAAGCCCCGGACACACGATGCAACATTGCAAGCGCGCAGTGTTGCAGACATTCGATGTTGCAAACCATGTCACAGGACGCATATCTTGCACGCAATGTTACTGAATCAGAAAACGTTTCTACTTCAGCAATTTTGCCCGCAAATTGATCCATGCGTCTGCGCCTCATATTAATATTATTTTGAATATAAACTATTGATATAATTTGATTTTGTGTACCTAAAACATAGTTTGGTCCTATGAGGATCAATGATGAAACTATACACTTCTTTTTTTTTCTTATTTCTTTTTTTTATCTCATATTTTTTAGTTCTTTAGCCAACAACCACATTTCGAAAATTAACGAACACTCCTTCAAGCACCTCCCAACCCTTCAAAAGATGTGAGTATAATTCTTTCTCGTGCTGAGGCAATAACTTCAATCAATGGTGCTGCACGCCTTTGTTACTAGTAGAATTGATTATTGTAATGGACTTCTCTATGGACTACCGGACTGTGAAATAGCTAAACTGCAAAGAGTTCAGAACGCTGCAGCTAGGCTTCTTACGTCATGTGGAAAATATGATCATATTACGCCCATTTTGTTACATTTACAGTGGTTACCAGTAAGATACAGAATTAATTTTGAAATTTTATTACTTACATTTAAGGCTCTCAATGCTATGGCACCAAGATACATAATTGAATTAATAACTAGATATAACTAGCTAAAAACTAGTGTGAGCTGCGTCGGTGTTTCTAATGAAAYARTAATGATGAAAAGGTAAATTATACACCGTGAAAAGATGAAAAAACTTACTGACGTTTCGGACGCTAGTCCTTCGTCGGAGTAAAAGAGAAAGAGGTCAAATTGAATTAATAACTATTAAGACGAATGCGCGCTATTTGCTTCACTCTAATGAAGGTGTCTTTCTAAAACATCCATCAGGAAGAATGAAAAAGTCTTTTGGAGACAGGTCTTTAAGTGTTGCTGCGCCCACTTTATGGAATGCTCTTCCCGCTAGCCTTCGTAATATCAAGTTTTTTCACTGAATAGACCATTTGCTAAAAGGGCGGCCAAAAAAATCAAAATGATTCAAAATAAAGGCAAAGACTAGAAAGAGGACCTATAATTTAGTAGTCCTACGAAGATTCATTATGTCAGGCGTTACCAATATGTTTCCCTGCAAACGGTCGATTTATTAACTTTTTTTCTATTAAATAATAATAGAAAATATAATAGTTAATAGTTTTAGCATATATTTCTTGTTTTATCGTTTATTTTATATCAACTGACGCGTTGAGTCCGAAAGCTTGATTTTAATTGTTTACTATTTGTTAAATAACATTTATAGAAAAATGAGAAACACAGCAACGCATGCTATAGATCATATAATGGTTGTTTTTTTAAACAAGCAAAAGATAAAGATACAAAACGATCCGCCATTTTGCATGATTTTTGTGTTTTTTTTAAAAATTTAATTATAGGAATCTTTCAAATAACAGCTTGAGGGAATGGGATATCGTCCAAATAGATGATTTAGCAAATCTCACAGTTGTAGATATCAGTGGGAACGCGTTCATGCCTGACCAGCGGTTTCTTCGTCTGCCAATGCTCAAAATGATCATTGGGGTAGCCTGGAGAAAAGAATGTGAAGACTGCTTGATAGTCAAGACGGAGGCAGTAGAAGAATCATTTGGTCAATCATATGGATTCTGTGCTATCAAAGAAACAAGTTTTAGTTTTCATGAAGAAATAGATTATGGGATGTCCATTTTCTTCGCCAAAAACGGGTTTTCACCTCAATGCTTGTGTCAGGATGAAAGTTGTGCTGATACAGAGATTAACAAACCTTACAACATGAAACTAAACTTGATCATAAGGCATTTATTTTACGTGGAATATATCTTCGGTTTTATAGCTATTGGCCTCAACTTTGTTGTAGTGTTAACGATAGCGTTTTCTAGGACTTTGTATAAACCGCCATTTCTTCTTCTATGCAATATTGCTTTATGTGACCTTTTCATGGGTGTATATACTGTTCTTATTGGTAGATATACAGTTTATGAATTTATCACGAACGAAGAAAGCTATAAAGGTATGGATACGATGGTGAATTTGTATTGCAGTGTGATGGGATTCATCTTTACGACATCTCAAGTAGTCGTGACTTTGACCTCATTGCTAACTACCTTGGAAAGATACTTCAGCATTGTTTACTGTATGGATCCTTCCAAGAAGTTACGAAAGAAGATGACATCCGTGCTGATCATAATGATCTGGTGTTGTGGCATCACGTATGCTGCTTTACCTCTGTTCCGTGTGGGAGGACTTAGGTACCACGGAGAGTTTACTTGCATGTTACCATTTCTTGATGGTCCATTGATATCCAATGTCAGTGATTCGACCTTTGTGGTAGCTGTTTTACTTTCTCTGCTTTATATTATCAGTATATTTTTATATTTACCCATATATAGATCTGTTAAAAATTCTAATGTAAATGCTGGCGTTAGGAGAAATGCCACTCTTGCTAAAAACATAGCAGTAATGATCACTACTAATTTCATCTTTAGTTTACTACCACTAATATCAACAATCCTCTTCGTGTACTGCTATGATCAATGTATGGCCATTTTTGAGGTAAATTCTCTAAAGCAACTACAAATCTTTTTTATATGCCTATCATGGTTACCGATAGTATTACTCAGCATCAATTCCTGCTTAAATCCTTTACTTTGCGCCTTTCGCAATCCTAAGATTAAGTTTCGTTTGTTTTTATTTTTCAAACGAATTAAGAATTCTGTTTCAAAAGAGGAAAACTCGAACTCAGATAGCTGTTGGAGAAGTGGGGCAGTTGGAGGGATTGAATTGGCAGACACTAATAACAGCATCCAAACAATAGGAATCAAAAACCTGGTTTATTAGGCCATTTAAACCCATCTACGCTAGCAGTATCGGAAAGTAATCATGATATTTAAAGTGCAAATGAACCCTTCGACAATACTTTCAGTACTGATTCTACAYGAAGTAAATAGTTGAATGGTAAAATATTTCTTGATTTGAGHGATGCGTTTCTAAGTTATGAAGGTTTATACTTCCAATATGCTAATGAGTGTGACGTCTATTAAGGCTTAATCAAATATACAAAATCGAACTGGTTCATAGAAACAGTATTTAAAAAGCATCATTATTTTACTCATGGTTTACATGAAAGCTATTTACAATTTTTATTTTCAAAATGGCCAGCATTTAGTATTACTAGTTACAACAAAAACACTCAAATACCTTACCTGACGTCATCATCATTAACATATTGGAAGTATAAACCTTCATAACTTAAAGACGCATCACTCAAATCAAGAAATATTTTACCAWTCAACTATTTACTTTATGCAGAATCAGTACTGAAAGTATTGTCGAAGGGTTCATGTGCACTTTAAGAAAAACCTTTCGCAGCACGCTTGAGGTAGCTATTTAATAAATATGAAAAAAAAGGCGATAATTAGATATTAAAACAATATGAGTTACAGTGAAATTACTCCAACCAAGGCCACACAGACAGATCTTCTACAAATTAGCCAATCAAAAGTGGGAATTGCACAAATATCCATGGGTTTACACGGTTTAGAACATTCAGTGCCAGTCCTTTGTTGATGAATATACAGTCAATTCAAAAAATGTTGTCGTCGACCAACTAAAGCCTACGCGACTGGACCGAAAGGAACTCTGGGTAGCAATCATAGAAACCGAGTTTACTCCATAATTTTATCTGACTAGTTATGTTTGGTGTACAGTACTAACCTTCGTAGGCGAGCGGGAAGTATCGAAAGAGACTTTTTTTTAATGCCTTCATATTTTCGGAATGGTGAACTGAATCATAACTACTTTGTTTTTCTTTTCCTAAACCCGAAGACATGCATTTGATGAATTGTTTCTCGCCATTATTATCTTATTACTAACAGAAACAATCAATTCAGAGCAATATTTAACCGCTTCACTGATTTTTACCCATATTCCTTTCGGACCAGTCACGTAGGCTTGAGCCGGTCGACGACAACGTTTTTTGAATTGACTGTAAACGTAATGTCGCATAGCAACATGGTAATAAGATCTAAAAGTGTCAGCCTGATAATATCTTTGTCTGAAAGAAACAAGCTGTAATCATAAAGACTGTGTTTTGTACAGTTTCAAATTTGCTTCCCTGTTGAATTTGAAGTCAAATTTTCATTTACTATTTTTCTATATATTTGGTGAAACAAATCACTAATTCGCGAAGAAAATGTATTAAAATTTCTTATTTCTTCTTAAATTTGTTTATCATTTGGTTTCGCCAATCTGAAACACGGAAGAATATCTAAATTCAAAATTTGCCGCTAATCTATTGTCTAAGTACTTAAACACTATTATATGATTTGTAGAAAATTTGTCAAGGTGGCCTTGGTTGAAGTAGTCGCACTGTAAGGATTTTACACTAATATTGAAATATGACGAAGTAAGCTGCAATTTCATTTTGTTTGGAAAGCCGTATTTTTTAAAAACAACTTTCAAAATATGAAGCCATGTCTATCTCTTTTATTTCTTTTAACACTACTGTTGTGACATCATCACCGGCAATTATTATCGTCATGTTACTTATGAAATATAATTATTATCATTATTAATTATTATTACTAGTTAGCTATTATTACTATATCTTTAACCTAGTACAGAGTTCTTCTCTTGTGTCCTCTACATATTCAGTACTACTGATATATGTCTTATTGTGTAAAATATACAGTTGGTGGAATTGAAATTTTGCCAAACCTTTGAATAGGTCTTGTGCACTAACGGGTCACGTGTTCTACTCAACTCTATTAGTTGCCTTCCCCCGGGAAGGATGGGGGGGGGATAAATCGGTATTTCTATGGGTGTCTCATACCTAAAAGGACTATCAAAAAGTAAGACAGTACCGTCTTAGGGTTTTTTTATTGAGGCAATACGATACCTGCGATCATTATGATGACAGTTAGAATTGGCAGATTTAATTCATGATATTTATTTATTTTCGGTTCAGTATCTGACTTCTGTCATATAACACTCGAAGTTTGTTGGTACATTTTAGGGATAAAAATTATTAGTTGCCACGCAAAACTAAATTTCAGACGAGGAGGGTCCCCGCTTTTATGTATTAAGGATTCCCCCTCCCCTCCCTCCCCTGGAGAGATTGCCTCTGCCTCCACAACGTAAAGATATACTAGCAAATGGGCGGACGTTTTGGAAAGATCTTTCCGGGGTTTTTTTAAAACATTTGAAAAAAGTATAGATTTGCATAGCATTTTATGCAATTGTCTTGTTTTCTCTACATTAAAAACCAAATCGTACTGACACAAAAAAAAATCTAGTTGTTTATAAACGAATGCTCAATACCCTTTTTTATATTGCTCCAAATAAAAACCCATTTAAGGTGACTGGCTACTTTTGGGAGAGAATTTTAACTTTTTTTAAAACTATAATTTTTTGAGGGAAGATTTGAGGGTTTTACCATGGTTCTCCAATACAATTTTGAAAGTTCTTTAGCGGTTTTGATGTGTGCGCACATCGTGGGCTCAAACTAGAACAATCAGAATTAGGCAGGCATCTGTCGCTAAAACAAGCTGACACTCCTTCGGTTATCTTGCGTCTATGACAGTTCCAGTTGAACAATGGGCACCATTTATCTTGAATGTTTGACTTTGATATTTGTTTAAACTGTGAATGAACTGAAACTGTGAGTTAATAGATTTATTTTATCGCACATGGCCCCTATTCCCGTCACAAAATGTTCTTCCGGTCAAAGCTAAACGATCGATCAAAAATAATGTTATCTAAAAAGCCACATCATCGCTCTTCCCAGAGGAAGGTTATTTGATACATGGACTAGGTCTTTAGTAGGTGAATGATAATTTTAGCTTATGCAAGAAAATATTTCCTTAATTGAGATTGATATATGCATCGCCATAATGCATTAATTCATCCGACGATCGCGTACTCATAAACAGCATCTTAATACATCATTATGTGTGTATGCGTTAAGTTTGGTGGTGCGTAATCATAAAGATCACATTGATTATATTTTATCGTCCAAATGCAAATTTATTCAAAGCATAATGCCATCTTCGATCTGACCAAGACAGTATACAATAAGAAAAAAAAAAAAAGAGCAAACCAGTAATGACACGCGGGGACTCGCGGGTTTTCCCAAATTCACCAATTTCTGTAATATTCATAATTTAGTGAGATTCAGCATCTTTTGGTCGATAACAGCTGGGGACTACAGGAAGTCCAGTACGATATAAATTTGTGCTATATTGTAGTTAGTGTAGTCTTTTTATTTTTTTTATTTTATTTTATTTAGATCAGCATTCTTCTCAATTTTCATTCGGTCTCTTTCACTAATCTGTACAAAGTTACAAACATTTCATTAGGCGATATATTTATTATCTGTTTTTGTTGTCACGGTAAAGATGTCAGACTTATATTCACCAGTATAGGTGGGCTATCTTTGCATTTCATAAGCCCTTCTTCCCTTTCTTTTCTGTTGTTTGTTTGTTTGTTTGTTTGTTTGTTTGTTTGTTTGCTTGTTTCATTTATTCGTTCTTGCTTATAAAAGTTGTTTTTTTACAACAGCATTTTGCTTGCAACTCTTTCGTGATAGCGTTTTTAAAGTTTGGGCTTCTAAGTGCATAAATGTATGCATTAAGAGACGAGCTGCTGGACACAATAGTGCTAACCCAAAACCTCACCGACTCATATTCGTCTTCTTCTTCAGCGTGCTCGTTGTCCAGCATATTAACTATGCTAAAAGGAAGAAAGAAAATCACGAATGTACCAGTTATTATGGCCGTAGTGATTGTGGAGTTCCTTAGGCGAGCGAATCTTTTTCCGGTTGGACCATGATTGTAAGCAAGAGATCTGCTTTGGCATATGATTTCATTTCGATGCTTTCTTGCTATAAGGTAGAGTCTACCGTAGATCAATAGGAATATCGCAATGGTGGCATACTGAAAAAAGGGTTCGGCAACCTCCATTGATGAGACAGTGYTAAAAAGTATACCTTGTGCCGTAGAAATGACTGAAACCACTAGAATGACGATAACGATTCGAGATGTTGTTGCGAACGAACGATAAAAGAACGGGTGCGTTATTTCCAAGAAACGGCTTATCGCTATGCATAAAAGAATATTCAAAGACATTTGAATCATGACAGCAAAGACGCTTTTATCAAAAGCTTTGAGAGTGTTTGCTGTCAAGGATCCAAACAGCAAGTAGATAAAAACAGGCTGAACAATGATACAAACCATGAGATCAGTAATAGCAAGTGCTCCTATAAATACGTTCACTCCGTGAAAATATCCCTTGTTTCTGAAAAGAATAACGAGCACTAGAGTGTTACCAGCAATGCCGGCCAAGGAAGAAATGCCATTGACAACAGCCATCCCAATTGCGTGAATCAATTCTGTAGACATCTGGTTCAGGTTATAGATKTTAGTAGTGCTTAAGATGCTGTAAAACAAAATTCAGTGACTGCAATTGCCATCGCTTTTTCAGAGTCGCATTTCATAATATTTCCAGCATCTTTTAATAATAAAAAAACGGCCACCAAAGCGAATTATTACCTTTGAATCCAGCGATTGATCTCAAAACCTAAAATAGTGGAACGCCTTCTATGTGGTCATGAGATTACTGATTAGTCACAATAAGTGCAGCTCATTTCTAATCCTCGTTTAAGTCAGAACTGGACACTTTTTCCTTGATTCTCATTTGTTAAAACCCGAGCATCTGACTTTTTGATGTTACAGCTGGTCGGCAGCCAACATTTAATTTAAAAAACGACAACAATGGCTGTCTATCATCAAAAGAATAGGGTTTCACTTCCGTTGAAATGAATAACACAGTCAGGCTAAACTTGCTGAAGTTGACAGTTTATTTGAAAAACGAGGTATTTTCATTTGATTAATTAAAAAGTAAAAGGAAGAAAAGAGAGCGATCGAACGACTGCTAAACAATAAAAGAACCTGACATGTCGATTATTCCCCTTCTTGCCTAAATGCATAATCATAATCATAATCATAATCATAATCATAATCATAATCATAAT